TGCCTTCAGCTGACTAGGTCAGAGCAGTATATAAGTTGTGATCATTTTTACATGTATTCTCTGTTTGACAACTGTATGCCTCGGATTCTTGTTGCAGAGTCTAGACACAGACAGAAAAAAATGCATATGGATTAGTTAATATTCGTGTGATCCCTTTGTGCTGTTTCATCCACCTGTTTAGGTGATTACATGCATGGTGTGGTCCTAATGATGTGTAAGGTACTTCATTCTTCAGTGCAGACTGTCCTTATATGCACTCTGTCTTGATGATCTGCTTTTGCATCTATCTTGCTAGCAAAACATTTGTTCCATTTCTTCGTGCTCTTTGGAAGTCAGCTAGATAACAAACAGCTTGTGTTGCCTGATGGTCCTGCCCCCTCAGTGAACTTGACGCCTCAGCCAAGTGACATTTCATTTCCAGTCAGTGTGGAACAGTGAGAGCTGGACACAGGACACCACACAGTTCTGTTCTCATCCTTAGGCTCACTCTGGTCTCTAGGTCAGTAGATACTGAGACTGAAGTGAAACTGGTGTATGTCATGTGCAGGGCCTCAGAGACCTTCTTGGCAACCTAAGAAATGGATCATCCTAATGGACTTTGAAGATCCTTGTAATCATTAGTAGGCAGAGTATGATGATGGTTAAAAATGGTTTTGTGGATGGGTATGAGAAGGCAGAATAGCTTTCTCAGAGCTCTGATTATCCCAATTAATTATCACTGAACTGTTATAACTGGAAGTGTTTAGTAATTCAACCTATTTTGCATAATAGTAATAAATTAACATAGTAAGTTATAAAAAAGAATGAGACGCCACTCCAAACTACTTTTTTCAGGCAAATATTTTATTGATGAAAGTGCATTTGTAAACTAAAATAATGTAACATCTTCCTCCCATGTTGTAATCACAAAAATTGCATCAATAGCAAAGAAAGAAAAAAAATGATGTTCAAGCTCAGACAGATGAACACCTTTGTGGAGATGGATGGAACCCTGAAAGAAAGAGATCAAGAAATAGCATTCAGAAAGAAAATATCTTTTAGTTGTATATACTTGCTTTATAGGAGACCAGGCTAGGAAACAGAAAGATAGAAATCCTAAATCCTGCTGTGTAGATGTCTCTAAGTTTGCAGTCTTCAAAGCCATAATTACAAGGCCTACAGTGATCTTAATACACTGCATGATCAAAGAATGTGTAGTAACAACTTAGAAAACAAGTGAATAGAGAGGTTTCAGAAGGTTATGTCTTCCAAACAAAGCAAGATAAAGGGTTTGCTTACAAAACAGGTGATGTGAAATTTGTTTCAATTGATCATTGTCTTGCTTTTGTGATACAGGTTTATAACTGAAGTGAGAAGCATGCCTAATAAGAGAGAGTACAAGAGTGCTTTGTTTTTAGAACTTAGACATAATTAAGCCATCAGTGAGTCAAATAATAAAAGAAAAAAGAGTATTTACATTGTACCAGAGGAAAGTTTATTAGCATGAAAGAAAAGTTTACAAGATGGGATAAAATGCTTGAAGGGATAAACAGAAGATATAGAATAAAGAAATAATGAGTATCTAGAGGATTGGCATTGTCATCAGTACATGCTGTCCCTCATACTCTGAACAGAGTGCCACAGTTTGTCATTGATAATAATCAGAATAGAGGCTGAGTCCTTCATGGGAGCTGACTTTGCAGAAGCTAACAAACTAGAAGGCCCTGTGAAACGGAGAATCAGGAAAAATAATGCAGAGCAAAGAGGAGATACAGCCATGGAATCAAACTTTAAATGCAGAGGAGAAATGGAACGATTATATAGCAAAGTCAAGAGTGTAAAAGATAAGAAAAGCAATAATGGCAATTGAAATGAATACTCTGACATTAAGGTAATAGAATTTCCATGCCAGCAGATAGCACATGAGAGATGAGAAGTCAGTAAAGGAAGAAGAGCCTCCAAGAGCAGTCTAGATTAATTTACTAGTAGAAAAGTTATAATTGCTAAAATCTCTTCTAAAGCCTGTGCCCCTGCAAAAGGAATTCAGCATGAATAAAGAATGTAGCAAACTGTGCCCCACTTGAAATATTATGTAAAAATGCTCCTGACACTTAGAGTGAAATAATAGTTATCCTGTATGTTCACTGAGAGAGAGGAGTTAACTTCTTTTGAATGAAGGCCTAGATTGGAAGCAGGATGCTATGACAAAGCCCTTTCCTCCCTGTGAGAGTGGACCTTCAGTGACCAAATCAGTTTGACTGAACTTCTGTTTTGGGGACTGAGCAGTCTAGTTGTGTGCCTCAGGATTCTGAGGCAGCCTGCATAGAGAGTCTGGGTCTTCCAGAGACTTTGCTGACAGTAGGTTTTCCCAGCACCATGCTGCTCAGATGCATTTCCAGAGAGACTACCTGGTGGTGGAGCTCTTGTTTCTACTCTTTAGGGGTAAGTAGTGGGCAGGCGAGGAGCTTGGGTTTAGCCAAGCCACAATCACTTTTACTCAGGAAAACACTAGATGGTTACAAAACAATATCCTGCATGTACCCTCTTCCCCCGCTTAGTGTGATCTCATCTCTCCTGGGAGTCCTGGTTTGGACAATATCTTTCCTGCCTTTTCATGAGGCATGTGGTAGTGGTTTGGCCTTTTTACTCACACGATCAACTTTTATCATGGTTTCTGTCATGCTTTTGTTCACATACTTCAACCGGGAGCAGCCTAGTTTGCATACTCCCCACCCTTCACTGGCTTCTTTATACTATATCTCAAAGCAATGATCTTACTGGTGGAAAACCCCCTTTCCAACAAAGAAATATTATCAGACACCAATGGGCTTTGACTCCTCTCTCATTGTTAATCCCCTCTGAGGTCTCAAGATGCCAGCATGAGTGTTGTCAATATTGAGAAGAGTGGACTTGAGGCCTAGCTGGTCAGTGGAGATATTGCAAAGCATGGATCTGTGTAAAAGGTATGGCAAAATGACATTTCCCAAAGGAGGAGTCATCCTGGGATAATGCGGACAGTTCCCAGTGCAGAAGTCCACTTCTTTTCCGTATATTAAAAGAGGAAGAACCTCACCATTTCAGTACAAGTATTGCACAGCGGTACAGCATAAAGATTTGCCCACACAACCCACCTGTTTTACCCTTTTCAAACAATAAAATTAGTCTTCACATTTTGTCAACTTCTTGATATATTTACAAATGGCGCTAGTCAAATGCTAACCCGCTTTACACCATTCAGGTGCTTTCCAAGTCACTGAACAGGCTGATGCGCTCTCAGGTTTTCTAGAGAACGTGTTTTTGCTTGCAGTGACTGTATTGTAATTATTTCCTCTATTTTTTTTTTTTCCATCTTGGTTTGACTTATTTTCTTTCAAAATGTTATTTTTTGTAGGTAATTGAAAATCTCTTAGATTGTCTTGATCCAGATCATTGTGAAGATGACTTTCCATCACAGAGAAACACTGCTACTGTGTTTGGTTTTAACTGAGATCCTTGCTAGCTGTTTGAAGAGAGAGGCCAAGGATTTAATTTTTCAAGGGAATGAATTTTTTTGTACCTCTCCCATAACTTGGTCTCTACTCAGTGGAGGACTCCATCCAACACTAAGTCTGGCATTGTTTTCAAGCAGTGTAACACTTGCATCAAAGAAGAAAGGGAGGAAAAAATGCACTTAAAATGTTCTTTCACCTTTTACTTGTAAACACTCCTGTGGGAGTAACTTACTGTGATGATCCAAACGTTATTTTGTAGTAGCATTATAGAACTCTACTGCAGAACTGGTTAACAGAGGATTAAACTTTCCTAAATTGAGATGAGTGGACCAAGGCTGGAAATCCAGAACAGGTCAGTGCAGATGAAGGTGATGGAGAGTGTGACAGGTGAACATCTTTCCCCTATAGTGTTAGTTTACTTACCTACTGCTGTGTTTACACAGAGAAGTGTTTAGTAAAAAAATTATTCCAGTGGGGAAAAAAAATCCCAAGTGTTTTGCCACTTTTATTTTTTGGCTTTATGGAGAGTGCTGACTGCTAGAAGGGACATAGGGATTGTTGAAGAACTGTGCTGTCTCAGTGTACAGAAAACATTGCATTTTTTTCTGCTCAGCTAGTGAAAAGACTACAGTAATGTTGGTCATGTCTGGTAGAAAAAACATAAACAGGTACTTGTTTCATATTTGGAGAGCTATCTATACTTTTTGTATTCTAATATTTAAGGATTTTTTTCTCCATGTCTTTTCAAACAAGCAATGGAGACTTCTTTTAGCTACATTCCACATTACAGATATTTGAGGTTAAAGTGACTGCAGTGGAAACAGCTGATACTGGGGAAAGAGTATTATAAATCATTCCTGTCTCTAAATCAGTTTTGTCTCAGACATATTTTTGTCTCTATCAAATTGATTCTAGAGCCATTCATGACTATCTCCTGAGTTTGGTAATTTTCTGTGGTGAAAGCTAAGATGGATAACTTTTTAATAGCTGTAAGAAAACAAAAATGACTCCACTGCACACATCTGGATGAACTGAAATCCAGCTTTCCAGGCAATCCATTCTCTCTACTGCTATTTTGAGAAATAATCATGCTGTCTCATTTAGGATTATTTTAAATACTCGGGGCTTATTTGTAAGAAATATTATTTCCTGATTTATAACTCTTGCAGCCCTATTGACTTATATGGAGAGAGAGAGACAGTGTCAGACTCACTGCAATTCTCAAAGGTATGTAAATAGCAGCTGTCAGTACAAACAAGACTGCAAAGGACCTTCCTTTGGATGCCATGCATGAAGTATGGCTGTTTACTTACTGCTGGAAGGAAAGTAGCTAATGTGTGTTCCCATCAGGCACTGATCCAAAGCTGGTCTGTCACGACAAAGCATCTCTCTCTCAGAGCATTTGGAGGGATGTTTGGTCCAGGAGTGCATTTTACTGTTTTTATAGAGTATAAACTCATGCCTGGAATAACCCTGCTGTAGGCAACAGAGCTGTCCTGGGAAGCTGAGCTCTTTTTGCCATATGCACAGTCTTTGTTGTGTGTGGTATGTAGATAGTAGAGAGTTGGAAACCGGAGGATCACAGTCTGCTTGTGTGGTACACTGTAAAAATTGTAATTCTATGATATATGGTATTGGACGCAATTTCTGACTAGAAAGCAGAACTGAATTACTTCATTTGAAAATATAGCTCAGCATTTGGTCTTATAGAATCTCTTGTAAAGTTGTTGTTTCATTTTGAGATGAATTGCATGCTTAACCAGGTAGGAGATGGGAGCATTGCATAAGCAACAGTATCAAACCATGGCAGTGCTGTGTAAAGGAAAGGAGACCGTACTGATGTCTTACCCAGGAAGACACGTGTGAAACTGATCTGGTGGAGTCAGAAAGCATGGAAGACACTTGAGGAGGCAGTGAAAGCTGGCTTTTATTCACAGCTCCTTTGGCAGAAAGCAGAGAATTAAAAGGTTTTTTTTGTTTGTTTGTTTTTTTTTTTTTTTTAAAAAAAGAAAACTTCTTATTGGCAAAAAAATATGATAGAAATTGACTAGTTATTCAGAGGAGAGATGAAATGAGGGAAAGAAAAGAAGGTGACTTATGTAAATGTGAAATTATTTTGGTTACCCATTTGATGTACACACTTGTAAAAAAATCACCGTAACGCCAGTAGTAGTTCCCAGTGTTGACAACAGTTTGTGTATTTGTAACATATTATATATTGTGCATAGTATTGGTAGGAGACCAATGGTCCAAGATATATCACAGAATCGCAGAACCATCTAGGTTGAAAAAGACCTTGCAGATCATCCAGTCCAACCATTAACCTAACAGTGACAGTTCCCAACTACACCAGATCCCTCAGCATTGTGTCAACCTGACTCAATGGATGGGGACTCCACCACCTCCCTGGGCAGCCCATTCCAAAGCCTAACAACCCCTTCTGGAAAGAAATGCTTCCTAATATCCAGTCTAAACCTTCCCTGGTGCAACTTGAGGCCATTACCTCTTGTCCTCTCACTTTCTACTAGGTTAAAGAGACTCATCCCCAGCTCTCCGCACCCTCCTTTCAGGGAGCTGTAGAGGGCGATGAGGTCTCCCCTCAGCCTCCTCTTCTCCAGACTAAACACCCCCAGTTCCCTCAGCCGCTCCCCATACGACCTGTGCTCCAGACCCTGCACCAGCTCCGTTGCCCTTCTCTGGACACGCTCCAGTCATTCAATGTCCTTTTTGGAGTGAGGGGCCCAAAACTGAACACAGGAATCGAGGTGCGGCCTCACCAGTGCCCAGTACAGGGGTCAGATCCCTTCCCTGTCCCTGCTGGCCACGCTATTGCTGACACAAGCCAGGATGCCATTGGCCTTCTTGCCCACCTGGGCACACTGCTGGCTCCTGTTCATCGGGCTGTCAATCAACACCCCCAGGTCCCTCTCTGACTGGCAGCTCTCCAGCCACTCCTCCCCAAGCCTGTAGCACTGCTGGGGGTTGTTGTGGCCCAAGGGCAGCCCCCGGCATTTGCCCTTAGTGAAACTCCTCCAGTTGGGCTCAGCCCATGGCTTCAGCCTGTCCAGGTCTCTCTGCAGAGCCTCCCCACCCTCGAGCAGATCAACACTCCCACCCAACCTGGTGTCATCTGCAAACTGACTGAGGGTGCACTCGATCCCCTTGTCTAGATCATCAATAAAGATGTTAAACAGGAGTGGACCCAAAACCGAGCCCTGGGGGACACCACTCCTGACCGGCTACCAGCTGGATTTAACTCCATTCACCACAACCCTTTGGACCCGGTATCCAGACAGATTTTTACCCAGCGAAGCCTGTGCCCATACAAACTGTAAGTGGCCAGTTTCTCCAGGAGAATGTTATGGGAAACGTTGTCAAAGGCCTCACTAAAGTCAAGGTAAACAACATCCACAGCCTTTCCCTCATCCAATAAGCAGGTTGTCCTGTAGTAGAAGCTGGATACAGCCACATGCTGCTAGAGGGAAACAGGTGATTTATGACATAGTGTTGCAAAAGGTGACAGTCCAACTCATGAATAGACAAGAATCACTGTTGAGAGGAAAACGGTTGCTCTTGCAAAGTAGTACACAAACCTGCATGTGAGACTTCAGAATTATAGTGCTTTGTTTCATCTTCTTTTTCATATGTTGCCAGGATTTGCTTTCTTGTTCCAAAGCACTCTGCTTGGCGAGCCTCCTGTTTCGATTTTGGCAGGGTGTTTCTTCCTCAAGGCTTCTACCAGAATCAGAGGATTCACTCTTTACTATTTTTCCTACCCTTATATACAGAAGTTCCAGCTAGATTAAAGGCAAGCTGTAAAGTAAATCACATGTACACTTTTTACTTAAAGGGCAGTCATACCACAAGGTAGGTACAAGCTAGTACACAAATGCAGACATCTGTGCCAATATGCTTCTGACCAGGTGAAGGTTTTCTAGAATAAACCTTCTTTACATCTCTGCCTATTGTTAGTCCTGAAAATGCTTTGCAACATTACAGAATCAACAAGATATCAGGTAAAGATGTGATAGGGAAACTACAGATGTTGCTGAATTCTTTCATTTTGGAATCTCTCACAAATTGCCTCCAAACCTTGTATGTTTATTTTCTGCCATTTGCAAGTCGCCATCATTGTTGTTACCAATTTATCTGTAGGTGAAACAGAGCCAGTGAGTTTTCCCCTTTTTTCTCTTTGTGCAGTTGAAGACAGTCCTCCTAGGGGATGTGTGTTCTTCACTGTATGTCTTTCATTCTTCATCATCTGCTGGGTGAGCTATTCTGTAAAATATGTAGAGGTACACATTGTAAAGTTTCCTTTTTCTTTTAGAATTGAGAATCTAAATAGCCTTAATACCTGATCTCTCCACACCTGTAAATTTCCATAAATTATTTTATTGATTTCCCCCCCCTTTTTCTAGCATAAAATTATCTTTATGTTGTACATCCTATGTATAAAATGATCAACAAAAGTGTCCATGGACCATTCTTTTCTACATACATAAGCCACTTAAACAATTTTAGTGTGCTTTAGTTGATGACAACATTTTCAAGAAGGAAGAAATATGTAAGGATTGAAAGAGGAAAAGATGTGGGCATCAGTGTGGAACAGGATGAGGAAAACTTGGAAAATAAAGAGGTCATGGAGGAATTCATTTGGACAAAGAAGTATATTAAAATACTTTTTAAAAGTAGACGAAGTTAAAGACAGAGCTTAATAAGGAGATAAGGGATTTTGCAGAGAAAGACTGGCAAAACCTTACAGCATTATTCTAAATTATATTTAGGGACTAAACCAAAATCTTTTTCAGAGTCATGATCTGCAGGATACATATTTAGTTCTTCATAGTTTTCCTTTCAAACTGTTACATCAGTTATTCTTACTAAAGTAAATTCTGTTTGCTTCAGTTGGGCTGTATGAGTGAATAAAGGGTTTGTAAGATCAGATATATGTCTATGGAACTGGAAGAAATGTTTCCTCATGAAATTTCTATCAAGTAGTTTTGCACCCTGTTCTATAATTAAATGAAGCTTAAGGCTGCTTTTCAGTCTCCAGTGTAGACTTAGGAACAGGATCAGGCTATAGTGGTGTGGTAGGACGAAAGCTGTAGCTATCTTTTAGATACCTTTTGCTGTGGCTTCTCTAAATTTTAGTTTCCTGTTCTTATGAAGGGTTCCCTAACATACTTTCAGCTGCATATTGTTTTTAGATCCAAATTCTTAAAGCTGCTGTTTCTCCTTTCTTCTGTAGAAGTAATGGGTTAATTATGATTTTAAGTGATTCTTAGCCAAAGGCAGGCTCTTCCTAAACATATACAGAGCTCCTAGATGGAGTAGCAAGGAAAGAAGTTGAACAACATTCATATGGAGGGAGTTGAAGTTGTAGTATTTTCTAGGTTTTCAGTAAAAATTCACTCTGGGTTGTTGAAATCTAAAATTGTTGCTATGAATGTGAATGAGAACTCACTGGGGTCATACAGGAGTCGCACTATGCCACGCTCTATTTAGAGGCCAAATTAGAGAATAGACCTTGTGTTGTCAGTTCAGTGTATGTATGATGTCCTGTGTTTGCTCCATGGATAAAGAAGACATTCCATTTTAATGGGTACTAGATACCTATGTTGCATAGTAGCTTTAGGTCATGAAGAGAATCTTGACAACTGTATCATTCATAGACTGAGAAGAGGAAAGTGATGTGTGGCTCTTCATTTCTCTCTGAAATAATGTCATCACAAAGATACACCTTAGCTGCAATATAAGCATCTTTTTCAAAGGGGTTTGAAAGTGTGCCACAAAGAGGACAATAAACTATTGCAGGGTCACTGGAAGCAATGAGTTTATGTGTTCCAAAATGTAATTAGAAAACAGAGATAGCAGCAGCAATGGTGACCCTGTCATTATAAAAAAAAATATATATATATTGGTGTAGATTATGGCTTTGGTTTTACCATGTCTCTTTAGTGATAGTGCCAACAGAGTGCTGTCTCAGTAAATTAAAGCTTGCTCTTAAATGCGTAGTCCAGAACTAAGCACCCTTGGAATTTGTTAATAATGGTTTGGACTCCTCTATCAGTTCCTTAAAATGTGTCCAAAAAATTTCCAAGTTAAACTTAATTTTAGGATCAGGTCAGGACCTGCAATCAGATTTTTTCATCATTCATGTTTAATTAAACTTAGTATAGATTATAAATGAGTGTGCTCATCATGACCTACCTGCTCTGGTTTACTTTATGAAATCTGAACAAATCAAACACAAGGTAGTCAAGGTGTAATTGTAATCTTTCAGTGATAATTATCTTCCATGTCCATTCTATTTATTAACAGAAGTTTTCTCTTAAAAGAAACAAGCAAACAAGCTGCAATTTTGAATCATTACCTCAATGTTAATAAAAGTCCTGATGTACTGCATGTGCAACCCGTAAATATCGGTCAACTAAGTGTTCACCATCTGTTCTGTTACCCTTACAGTAAATAATCTCTGTTGCAGCTTTTAAATCAAAAACATGCTTAGAAATCTCTGTGCTCATTATCAGACAGAGTTCAGTTCAGCTCATCACACTGTTTTGAAATAGGTCTTCATTATCTTCCACCTGGGAATATTACTAGCAAGCAATAAAACAAGTGTGTACACTCTTGGGGCATCTGAGAACATTTTTAAAACTCAAGTATTTCTGCTTATGCTAGTTAGACTTTCTGTAGTATTTTTTTATACAACCAGTAATGATGAACCATTTGGTAATTGTGCCAGTGCCAGAAAGAAAAGCAACAGCCTTTCAATGGATTGCACAGGGACTCAGTTCAGCTTAGCCAGCTCAGCCTGAAAGCCACACAGTTTATACTGGGCGCATTTAGTGGTTTAGTATAGGTATTAGCTTAGTCACTGCCATCCTAATATGACTTCATTATCTCATTGGTACAGTCCTGCCAGTAACTGGATATCTAACCTATACTGGAGAAGACAGAAATGATTTCTTTAAACCCACTTCCAATTTTCCAGTAATTTTGATTTTTGGCCAGTTTGCAATATTAGGAATATGTAATTGGAAATGAATGGTTAAGATTATAAAATAATTGTGCTTTCAGTGCTGCAGCATTTTTAGTGAATTAGCCTCAGTGTTTACAAGAGACTCACAAAGTTAATCCTACAAAGCTTCAAAGAAAATTGCACAGTTTGTATAATTCTCTGAGGAAAAAGTTTTTGCAAGGTTCTTGGCACAACTTTCTTTGAAATTGTTAGAGCCTTTTATTTACAAAACAGTGTACATAGAATTAAAACTTCCCCTGTGCTCTAATTTTTGGCCCAGTCAATCCTTCAGGAGTGCTGAAAATGGGGCTTTAATTAGCAAGTTAACCCAGTCACTCATCCCAGTGCTTATCA